TAATAATAATTAATAATATATAGCAGCTAACAGTTATTTGAGCTTATGATCAATTAGGTATGTGTTCAATGTTTTCTGTATGTTTTTGTTTTGTTTGTTTGGTGCTGGGAATCAAACCCAGGATCAGCTACACAAATGCTTTACTGAGATCTGATCCCCAGCCCATATTATGCCATTTAACTAGCTCAACAATATTATAATCTTGGTACTGACTTTGTCCTTGTTTTGCTTACAAGAAAATGAACTTCAAAAATTTAATACCTGGCCCAAGGTCACATAGAACCTGAATTTTGGTACAATAGTCTACGACTGCAGTATTGTTGCTTTCTGAGGCCCCTTGCATTTCAACAATTACTCTCAGGCTCTTCAGCAAACCTGTGAGCCTACTACATGTTCAGCACTGATCTAGGGACCAGGGATGACATGCAGATGTACAGAGATTCCTGGCCTCAAGGAGCACAGTCAGGTAGAGCATCAGTTCCTTTTCTGTTCAAGAGTAACTCGGTTGGCAGCAGTGAGGCAGTGTGGCCTGGATCAGCCTTCTCCCCAGTTGTTTCTGACTGAGCAGGCTGGCTCTAGCCTCTCTAGTGGACATATGGTCCTTGGCCCACAAGTCTCTCTGAGCTACAGGCCCTCTGTAATTCCCCAAAGACCCCCCTCGCCCCACATCCTTTTTCAGAAACTTACCCAGAGCTCCAGGGCAAGAAGTGACCTCAAGATAAAAGTTCCAGCTTGGCCTGGTGAGGTTGTGCAGGCCTTTAATCCCAGCACTCAGGAGGCAGAGGCAGGTGGATCTCTGTGAGTGCAAGGCCAGCCTGGTCTCCATAGTGAATCCAGGCCAGCTGGGGCTACTGGGAGACCCTGTCTCAAAAAGACAAAAAAAAATTCCAGCCGGGCGTGGGTGTGGTGGTGCACACCTTTAGTCCCAGCACTTGGGAGGCAGAGGCAGGCGGATCTCTGTGAGTTCAAGGCCAGCCTGGTCTACATAGTGAGTTCCAGGCTAGCTGGGGCTACAGGGAGACCCTGTCTCAAAAAGACAAAAAAGATAAAAATTCCAAATGAATCAACGCATGCTTGTAGGAATGTATGAAGTAAAACAAAGTGAATCCAACATGGAACCTGGAAACCTTAACTTTGAAAGGACTTTGGAGGATGGTGCTAGAGAATAATAATGCCCACATTCTGCTATTCTTCTTGTTCTGAATATCAATTAAAAATTGTAGTTTTAGCTGGGCGTGGTGGCACACGCCTTTAATCCCAGCACTTGGGAGGCAGAGGCAGGCTGCTCTTTGTCAGTTCGAGGCCAGCCTGGTCTACATAGCGAGTTCCAGGACAGCTGGGTCTACAGGGAGACCCTGTCTCAAAAAGACAAAAAAAAAAAAATACATAGTTTTTTGTTTGTTTGTTTGTTTGTTGTTTGTTTGTTTGGCTATTTTGAACTGACCAGACCCTGGCTTTGTTTTTAAAATAATTATGTGCCAAGCAAAGTATCAGGCACCTTACACATGTCTCTCTCATTAAAAAATTTTTTTTATTTTTATTTTATTTGTATGAGTTTTTTGCCTACATGTATGTAAGTGTCCCATGTGCATGTAGTGCCTGTGGATCCCTTGGAACTAGAGTTACAGACAGTTGTTAGCTCCCATGTAGGTGCTGGGAAATGAACCTGGGTCCTCTGTTAGAACAACCAGTGCTCTTAATTGCTGAACCATCTCTCCAGCCTCATACTCCATCTTTATACCCACAACCATTTTCAAGTTAGTTACTGTCACCTTTACTGGGAAAATGAGGGAACTGAGGCTCACGGCGCTTGAACGTAAAT